ATCTATCTATCTATCTATCTATCTATCTATCTATCTATCTCTATCTATCTATCTCTATCTATCTATCTATCTATCTATCTATCTATCTATCTATCTATATCTATCTATCTATCTATCTATCTATCTATCTATCTATCTATCTATCTACCTATCTATCTCTTTGTCTGCGCCCGACCTTGGCGGTCGTATCGGACCAGCGGCCGTAGCCCGCTGTCTGGTAGGGCCGCAACCGTCGTCTCGTATGGCCGCCGCCGTCTCTCTCTCTCTCTCTCTCTCTCTCTCTCTCTCTCTCTCTCTCTCTCTCTCTCTCTCTCTCTCTCTCTCTCTCTCTCTCTGCGTCCGACCTTGGCGACCGTATCGGACCAGTGGCCGCAACCCGCTGTCTGGTAGGGCCGCTATCGAACCAAATACCCTTACAAGGGTATTTGGCCATGCTTTTGCATTCGACACAGTGACGACGTCGGCTACCATGACGGAGCCAGTCTGGAATGGAAAGAGTTCGCACGCTTGGGCGTGGCACTTGAAACGATTTCCTTGGTCATTAAGGCCAAGGCGAATTGGTGATAAAATTTCGAAAGTATGTGCGCGCGTTGTTATGACGCTCGCTGTGAAGGTTACAATCGGTAGTAATGCCCCGGCGACAGAAGAGGCCGAGAGGTTGATTGGGTTAATGTGGTGTCAGGTAGATCTACGACACACCTTGAGACTCGGACTGATACCTGTCTAACTACTGGTACCATGATTGGGCCTATAAAAATGTTAACTTTGTCTTCTTCTACTCGGCCTCGACTACGAGGCACATCTACCTCTACTTGGTGTGATACCTGTCAACCTGCTACTTGAGTGATTCTCATTGTTCGTAATTGTCGCGGGGATCTTTCTCCGCCGCTTGAGTGTTTTTCTCCGTTGCGACCCTCAAGTGTCGCAGCCACCGCTAAGTACCGGTCCTCCGAGCCTTCCGACCAACTAAATACCCCTGCAGGTTGCACACACACTAAGGCTGACAAACACTCCTACAGGTATGCAGATCAGCAGCCATCCACACTCACAAACTTAGAAAGTCGGGCTAACCAGCCCCATTTTAATAGGAGGGCAGCTCCTTACCATACCATGGTAAGAGCTAGCCCAGCAGGTCACTAATTAGATTTGCATGCTGGAGGTGAATGGATCGAAACCCGATAGACATTGGGCTAGTTTTTCTTTTGGTAAACAGTTCGAGTTCGGCTCCAGGCTACCGCTATGAGCCGATATTCGAACCTGCGACCTCACTATAATGGCAGGTGTCCCAACCGTAACCGACCCCGTCGTGACAGTTGGCACGATGGGGTGGTTAGTGGCTGATTTTGATTTTTTTTTTTTTTTTTCTTTAATCTTTTATTTTTTTTTGGCTAGATTCGTTTCTTTTTCTTTTCTTTTTTTTATTTTCTTTACTCCTTAGATTCTCCTCAAGAATGAATCTATCTCTAAGATCGGGGTAGATCCGGGTCTTCTAGCCGAGGAATGGACTGGTCGAGGTCGTGAGTGACCGGCGGCTTGAACTTCGGCGCTGCGATACAGATGCTCACGGAGCCTCGAAGGCCGGGGCGCAACCTGGGCGCCGACAACGAGCCTATGCACCGAGGAGGAAGGTTGAATGTCCGGACAGGAAGAAGGTGACCGCGCGGGAGAAACAACTAGCGGAGGATGATGAAGATGACTACGGGCGCGAGCGTGGCAACAAAGGAGCGCGCGCAGAGAAGAGACGAGAGACTTAGTGCATGAAAAGACGAGAGGGGAGGTAGTGTGCTAGACGCAGGAGTTGAGCGTGCGATAAAGAGAAGAAGAGGGGAAGTGCAAAAAAAACGACGAGTGTGTGAACAAGGAGAACGAGAACCACGCAAAGGTAGGAGAAGACCGCGCGGAGGAAGAAGAAAGCGCAGAGAAGATGAAGAAGAAGAAGAAGTGGGAGAGGGGAAGAAAGGGTACTTACCTCCCCTTTTTGCAGTCGATGATGGCGAAGTTCCGGGTGTGTTACCGCCGGGAAGAGAACGGAAACACCACTGAGAAGATGAAAGGGACTAGGCAGGAGAAAGGAGGAAGGAGACGACTAGCACAGGGACGGAGATGACGAACGGGAATAACAACAGGATGGCGAGCGAGCTTGACAACAGCGGGAATGAGCGCAAGGGTGGGGAGAAGGAGATAAGAAGCACGACATTAGGAAAATGCGCACAGATTACGTGAGAGTAGAGGGAGAAGTAGAAGGAGGAGGAAGAAGAAGAAGGAGAAGAAGAAGAGAAGGAGAAGGAGAGAGAGAAAAGGGAGAAGGAGCGAGGAGGAGAGCACTTACCTGAGCGTGCGGTGCAGCGACGATGGCGACTCGACGACGATGGGGGAGCGGGATAGAGAACAGGTAAGCCTTCAATCATGCGGCTTACCTCAGGATACATCGATAGGATAAAACAAAATAAATAAAATAAATAGATAAATAAATAAATAAATAAATAAAATAATAAAAACGAATGAATCTACCACCAGGGCGTGGATATATACATTACCACGCTATACACGTGTATATGTGTACATGTGTGTGTGTGAGAGAGAGAGAGAGAGAGAGCAGGGGAGGAGCACCCAGCCATGGCCAAGCTGCGCCGCTGTAAGCTGGGTGTAGCGGACCCACCAGGTGTGGTGCTCTGCTAATGATAGAGACGGAGATGGAGGAAGAAGGGGGGGGAGCAAGATCCACAGCGCAGCTCCCACACGAGACTCCACGCACGTACTCCAAAAATGTGCAAGTGAAGAATGATGACGAAAACAGAGAACTGCAGGGGTATACCCCAGCGAACTGACGGAACTGGACTGGACTGGCTGGTACCGACAGAGGTACCGGCCTGGACTGGACTGGACTGGACTGCCCCCGAATAGAACACAGGCGTGTGAGAACAGGCCAAGGGGCTGGTCTCACAGGCCAACCAGAGGTCCGCTACACGATCCTCGGCCTGTGATGGATCGCCTAGATGCAAACACGCTTCCGCCAAGAAGCGGAACTCTACCAAAAAAAAAGAAAACCTGAGCAGTCTAGGATGCGGAGCAAGCTCCATGCTGAGTCTATGCAATGCAACCTAGGATAGAAAATGTCACAAAACAACAATGTCACAGCTAACAGCCTAAGTGAAAGCAAAAGCAACTAACTCGCATACATGTCCTAGGAAAGCAGAAAGTAGTGACAACTAGATCCTAGAATGTTGGAGGCAGTAGCCTCAGTCTGGGAACAGCTGACTAGTGTATAAGTCCTAAGAACAGCAAAAGCAGAACATCTAAACCCTAGAAATGTCAGAGGCAGTAGCCTCAGTCTGAGAGCAACAAAGCAACAACAAGTCAACCATATGTCATAGGAGAAGTGTGTCGCAAACCAAAGGGTGGGATGATCTCTGAGGATGGCGAATGCAGCCTAGGGGTCGAAAACTCCTAAGGGCATCCACACATAGTGACAGGGAGAACACATGTCATCAGGGTCATTGAGGGTAGGGAACTGGGAGCGAACAGAACCAATGACCCTAACTTATAGACCATCAGGGCGGGTAAAAATCGACTAAGGGGTGACCGCTATGGAGGGTCGACCATGCAAGGGAACAAGGGAGCCTGGTATACTGGGCGCACCTAGATGAAGCATGTGGGGCTGCCTAACTAGGGCGTGAGGGCCGGCAAAGGGCAGAACGATGAGGGAATCATGCAAATGACTCCTAAAGTGAGGGAAGTTGGAGCTAGATCCGTAAGATGGGAAGCGAGGGCAACGATACGGTCTCGATGCCTATGTGTATACCAAGGGAGAGCCCAACTCAGAGGAACCTGGCTAAAGGGAGACCATCATGCGACACAAGCAGGGTACTGTATAGGGTAAAGTGGTAAGAGAGTGGCGACGTCTGAAGTAGGCAGAGCTGATCGTAACGAAGTCCATGAAGCTGCCGATGACGTCCACGATAAGAATTATGGAATGCCGTCGAGGAAGAGTCACAACGTCGACGAGCTGAAATAGCAAAATTGGAGTGGATGAAGTACTGAGAAGTCAAAGACGTGGGAAGGTAAGTCAGAGTCAATCGTCGTATCGAGCAAGACGACGACAAGTGCGTTGTGGACGCTCAGAAGCATCCGGCTGCTGCTGAAGGTCTGCCTCAGATAGAGCAGGCTCGACTTCAGCGGTCTCCTCAGCCGGGGGAGAAGGAGGAGGGTCAGTGGGCTGAGGAGGAGCAGTGAACCCAGCATGACGAGCACGGTCATAGGCACGCACCAACATGCGAGCGTGCTGCAAGTGCTCGACGGGCTCCCATGTAGCCTCCTCATCAGGGTAACCCTTCCAACGTACGAGATACTCGATGTGGGGAGGGTTGTCGTCGGTGACTCGGCGACCAATGATGTCTGAAACGAGGAACTCCTCGTGGTCGTCCACCATGATGGGTGGAGGGCGCTCGTATTGTCGTCCAGCAAAACACTCAGACGGTCTGCGGTACGGACGCAGTAACGAGACGTGGTAGACATCGTGCACACGAGCTTGGTGTAGGTAGTCGGCCAGCTTCACACGGAAGCTGACTGGGCTAGATGTCGTATCAAAACCAACGGTCTGGAGGATGCGGCATGGTCCAAAGAAGCGACGTCGAAACTTGCGAAGCATGTCCGCTTCGAGCTGTAAGTGGCGGGCGTCGATAAGCACATCATCACCGACTTTGAATGGATGATCCATCCTCGATCGGTTCGCACGTGCGGCCATGCGAGTCTGGGAAACGACTATGTGCTCATGTGCGGTCTTCATGATCGACGTCATATGTGCAACCCAATCATCCCGCGCGGGACAACTCCTGTCGAGGTGCATCTGTGACGATCGAAGGAAGTCCGCGGGAACACGAGGGTGATAACCGAGGTCGCAATAGTAAGGCGACATCCTCGTGGCGGGCAAGACGGCGTGGTTGTAGGCTATCTCCGCGTGGGCAAGATGAAGATCCCACTGCTGGTCATTACGAACAATCTTTCAAAGAATATCCCTGAGAGTCCTGTTCGTGATCTCGGTCTGACCATCAGTCTGAAGATGGTAAGACGAGGAGAAGCGGAGCTGAGTGTCGTACACCTCGTGGAGCCGTCGCGAGAATCGGCTGGTAAAGCGCGGGTCACAGTCAGATATGATGCTCAGTGGTAAGCCGTGGTCACGCACGACTCGGTCAAACACGATGTCGGCGACCTCACATGCACTGATGGCAAAGCGGCACGGAACAAAGTGTGCGCGCTTCGTGAAGCGGTCGACGACGACCAGGATAGCATCGTGACCGCGGGGGGTCAGAGGACGAAGAGGACCGATAAAGTCCATCGAGATGGACTGCCAACGACCCTCAGGGATAGGAAGAGGCTGGAGCAAACCATAAGGTATATGGTTCGCACTGTTCACCTCCTGACAGGTGGGACACTCTGCGACGTAGTCCTTCACAAAGTCCTTGCGCTTCGGCCAGACGTACAGGCGGCTCACACGAGCCAAAGTCTTGTAGAAGCCCATATGACCGGCGGCTGTCTGGTCATGGAACTCCGCTACAGCTCGAACACGTAGCTGTCTAGTGGAGGGAACGCAAATACGGGGCTATCTGGTGCCCTGTGAACCGTGCCAGTACACGAGACCGTTGTCCCCGAGAGAGTAGTTCGGGACGGTCTTGCCACTCCGAAGGGTCGCGTGGATGTCGCGATAGTCGGGGCAGTGGCGGTACTGAGTGCGAAACTCGTCGATCACCGAGTGGTGGACAGTGGTGACGGAGATGGAAGAGAGCTGGATCTGCTCCTGGTCGTGGTCAAGGCGCCGGGATAAGGCATCTGCGACCTGATTAGTCTCACCCTTGATGTGCTCAGTGGTGAAACTAAGCTCGGATAGGTCGCACCACCAACGAGCCTCTCGAGGAGTGAGCTTCGGTTTTGTCAGAAAAGCCTGGACAACAGAGTTGTTCGTACGCACCATGAACGGTGCCCCGTGCAGGTAGTGACGCCAATGCCGAGCGGCATAAACTACTGCGAGAACCTCACGTTCATCAGCGGTATAGTTTATCTCGGCGGGAAGGAGCTGACGGGAGTAGAAGGCTATCGGACAATCACCTGAGCGGGACTCGAAAGTGCGGTCCTCGACGATGGTAGGAGAATAGTCAATAGAAGGCTCGTCAGTAGCTGGACGAGTAGGCGTCAGTCGGGAAGCAGTGGTAGGGGTAGGTGGTGGGAAGCGAGGGATACGAGGATGAGAGGAATCAGGAGAGGAGGGGAAAACCTGAGAAAGCACTGCTCCTACAGCGAAGTCTGACGCATCGGTAGTAAGGATAAAAGGGCGATCAAAATCGAGTAGGTGAAGAACCGGTGCGCATCGCCTTCTTGAGGGCGAGGAAGGCGTCCTCGTGGAGGGGTGGCCAAGCCCAGGGTGGGTTCTTCCGGAGGAGGGTGGAGGTAAGGACGCAGAAATAGCTAGCGTATCCCTGGATGAAATTACTATAGTAGCTGGTCAGGCCTAGGAAGCTGCGAAGCTGCTTGGCGGATGTGGGAGAGGGCCAGTCCGCAATAGCAGTGATCTTCGCGTCGTCCATGTGGAGACCCTGGTCAGACACGTAGTGTCCTAAGAAATCCACTTTGTGCTGGGCAAAATGGCACTTGCTCAGCATGTCGTAGAAGCCATGTCTGCGCAAGCGGTCAAGGACGTCGCGGAGGTGTCTGAGGTGCTCCTCAAGAGTACGACTGTAGACCAGGATATCGTCGAGGTAAATGAGAACATAGTGCTTCAGGATGTCCCTGAAGATGTCGTCCATCGCCCTCTGGAAGGTAGCGGGTGTGTTGGTGAGGCCGGATGGCATCACCGTAAACTCGTAGTGGCCGAAGCGCGATCGGAACGTGGTCTTCGACTGGTCGGCTGCAGCGACGTGGATCTGATGGTAACCGCTACGAAGATCAATCTTCGTAAAGAAGCGGTTACCTGCTAGGCGGTCGAACAACTCATCGGAACGAGGCATGGGGTAGTTGTTCTTAACCGTGTAGCGGTTGAGACCGCAGTAGTCGATGCAGAGACGAAGAGTTTCATCCGTTTTGCGAGCAAAGAGGACGGGTGCACCCCACGGGGAGTTGCTGGGTTTAATGAAACCCAGTCTCAGGAGCTCCTCAAGCTGACGCTTGAGTTCGGTAGCCTTGGGGATCGAGAGTCTGTAGGGTGCTCGGTGGTGAACACGATAGTTAGGCACAAGCTGAATGGAGTGCTCGACATCACGCATCGGTGGGATGCCGGCATACGAGAACGACGATGGGAAAACGTCGTGGTACTCTCAGATGAGGTCACGAACTGCGGGCTCCAGGTCAGCCGTATATCGTGCGAGTTCCTCAGCGTCAGCGTCATCGCACGACGGCGGGGTGGACTCGATGGACGGCGGAGGGACGGAAGTAGAGATGGGAGCCATGGAGATAGAAGGAGGATCTGGCTCCAGAGGGATGAGCTCGACGTCTGGACAGGTTGGATCATAGTGTAAGAGATCCGTCACGTTCACCATAAAGAAGGTGACGTCGTCCTGTCGGATGAAGTGGCCGAACTGCCGAGGCGAGGTGACAATGATAGAAGGGGTGGTGTGGGCACGGAAGGCTCCGGGGGAGGAGGATCGGGGCGTGGTGTCGCGGTGGTACCTATTAAAGGTACGCGATACGTCTGTCCACACTTCGTTTTGAGAACGAGAGTGTTGGTCGCTCAATCGGCCTTGGTGCTGCAGAACCGACGAGACCACGGAGTGCCGAGAATGAAGCCATACCCCGTCTCCATCACATCGAAACGTGCAAAGGAGCGGTGGCGACGAGACGTCGGGGAACGATCAGTCGGCTCGAGAGTGAGGAAGAAAGGGAGGTCGGTGACCGTCTGATCGAAAAAGCGCTGGGTCTTGTCATCCCCTAGGGTAACGGAGATGGGAGTCGGAGACCCTGTTGTGGGCAAGCGGGCTTCTTTCACCACGCGTGGGTGAATGAAGTCGCCCTGAGAACCAGAATCCCACAGCGCTGAGTACACCCTCGTGGAGGTCCTGAGTCGTACTGGGATGATCGGGAGGGTGCGATCAGGGTCAGAGAGGATGGCGAGAAGGCGACGCAGTGCAGCGACATGGAGGGTGAGTCGCTCCTAACGAGCCTGGAGCATTCTCAAGTCCAAAAGAGAGGACACAACGTCCTCGCCAGTAGCGAGCTGCTCGCTGCAACGGGCTGAGCGAATGGCTCGACGCGTTGGTAGTCGCGGCGGGGAAGGAGGGGAGACGGTGGTCTGCAGAGGCGCAGACGGTACTGCGACAGAGGGCTGAGTACACTCTGTCGAGTCCTGCGATACCTCAGCTCCAGTAGCAAGAGGGGCGAACCGCGACGGAGATGTCAGGAAGCCCACTACTGAGGAGGGCGCAGGTGTACACTGCACTGTGGCTAGGAGGCGCCGCGGGGATGAGAGGTGCAGGGGGGGGACTGAGCACGACGCTGGCGGGAAAGGTCAGCGTAGTGGCGGTCAAGGGCAGTGGTGTAAGGGCACCGCGAGGAGGTACGACCATCCTGACAGCATCGCAAACATCCACGCCGACCCAAAATAGTCGCGCGCTCCTCAGGGAAAAGGACGCCGCGAGGAGGGACAAAGCCCTGAGGGAGGTCCTGCTGAGGGACCTCGGGGGGCGACGCGCCAGCGTGACCAGGGCGGCTGCGTGCCCGGGAGAGGGTGGAGATGATGAGCTGGAGGCGATCGGCCATAGGGAGAGTTGGATCCTCCAGGTGGTGGTGGACGGCCTCGCCAAGGTCGAGGTCGTCGCTATGGTCACCCTCTGGCAACAGCGGTGCACCAGCGTCATGCTCACCATACTCGAGCGCGCTGAAGCGGCGCGAGAAGTGGCGGCCCTGCTGTGCGGAACAGCGGGGGCGACCGCAGAAAGAGGAACGGCGCTGGGAAATATTTTGAGAGGAGGAGGAGGCATAGCCCGTGCGTTGAGGTTGGGAGGAGGAGGTGGGGTGAAGACGGGCTCACATCCGCTGATGGTCCCTGGCGGCCTCGTAAGCCTGCGGGGCGGATGTGAACTCGTACCGCCATAGCTCGGAGCGGTACTTGAGCGGAAGGCTGGCCAAGAAACGATCGGTAAGGGCCGCCTCGGGGAGGAACGCCATGTCACAAATGAGGAGGGCGTCCTGAAAGACCTGGATGTGGCGATCCAGGCCGGCAGCGCCACCAGAGCCGGACCAACGTGTAGTGACGACACGCTCGAAGGCGTCAGTGACGTCATATCGGGCTCCGAAGCGATCCTCGAGAAACGCTTGGAAATCCATCAGGGTTGTCGAGCCCCGGCCCCGGGGCCCCGGCGGGGTTCCGGGGTTCCGGGGTTGGGCACCCCCAACCCCGGCTCCAGAACCCCCCGCAAAAAAAAAAAATTCAAAAAATAAAAATAAAAATAGTGGGGGGTGCGCAGCGAAAGCGCGCACCACATGGGCTAAACCCCAAAAATGGGGTTTTATGCCCCCCCCCGGACCCCCCCCGGGGCCACACCCACCACTCGTGGGACCGGGGTAGCTGCTGGTGCGGGGCCGGGGGC